GCCTCCCTGCATTGTGCCTACATATGCAAATTAACCGCCATCTTTGTTGTCAGTTAACTGCCATCTGAGTTGGCAGTTAATTTGCATATAGCCCTGATTAGCCAATGAAAAGGGTAGCGTTATACGCCGATTACCATTTTTCTCTTTTATTAGTGTAGATTGCTGGATAGTGGATAAGTTCTAAAAAGAAAAACAAAGAAAGGGGAAAAAGTTTTCTGTGAGATTGTGTGTGTGTATGCCTCCCACCTGACATTTCAAATAGTATGATCAAGAAAACCTTTCTGAAGAGGGAGTAACATTTGGTCAGAGACCTGAAATAGTCATCCATGGGGATATCTGGGGAGATATTTCAGGCATTGTGAACAATTTATGACACATAAAATCCTCAAGTATAATCCAGGTAACATCCCATGTGATAATTACCTATACATTCTTTTTTTTTTTTTTTTTAAGAGAAAATCATTTCATTAGGTTTTCTGGAAAAAAAATTTCATTTAATATTGTTGCTCTATATTTCCCATGATTATTTCATTATTTAATACAATAAAAGTTATGACTACAAACAGGCAGAGATTCACAATAATACATCTGCAATTCCATTTCTTTTATTTGCAACATGCCTTCCTGTCTCTGCATTTTGGCTGCTTCCCTGTGTTTGTTTCTATGTATTGGGTAGAGCTGCTAGGTCTCCTTGAGTTGGTAGAGTGGCCTTGTGTAGTGTTTTCTAGAGCCCAGTGGCTCAGCCTCCCCAGTCACCTGAGCTGAGAGCTCTAGGTACACCCCTTTGTGGGCTGTGAACATAGTCTTGTTGTAGTTGAAACTTGATTGCTGTTGGTGTCATTGGGAGGAATCGACCTTCAGGCCAATTGGCTGTGAGGTCCAGCTGTGACTACAGCGAGAGAGCTGCTGTTTCGGAGACACCCCTATGGATCAGGACTTGCTTCAGTGGGGCTTTGGTGCTTACTGTATCTGCCCCTTGAGTGTGTCACTTATGGATGTGTAGAGTTGTTAACTGGTATGGTCTGACACTCACCACTGGGTACATTGGCTCTTGGGTCTCCAGAGAGGTGCAAAGTCAGCCTCTGGCTGGGGCCACCCAGAAGGAGCTACAGAGAGACATGCAGATTCACAATCCAGTTCCTCCTCATATGTGTCTATGTTCCCCAGAGCCTCTTCCTGGAGCTGGAGCTCAGAGGAAGCAAGACCTTGTAAGTTCAATTCTTGTTGCCAGCCTTTTAAAAAGAACAGCTGGGTCTCCAGCAGCCTCTGTGTCACCGAGCCCCAATCTACGCTGGTTTTTATAGCTCACAGTTCTTACTGCCCATAGGCACTTCTTTTCCCAGCTCTGGAACCCTGGGCTGGGGGTCTGGTATGGGGTTGGGATCCGTAGCTTCTCCCGGCGGCCTTCACAGAGACGATCTCCCTCCCGATTAAAAAAGCGGCACATGTGGGTGCTGGCCCAGCCTGGTCCGCATCTCGGCACCTCCTACCAGTCTCAGTGTGCTTTCTTTAACACTTCTCTAGTTATAGGACTTCCATTTAGCCGGCTTTCCAGTGGTCCTGGATGATGGTTGTTTTGTTTTTTAGTTGTAATTTTGATGTGGTTGTGGGAGGCAGTGAATACAGGCATTTACCACGCCGCCATCTTCTGAGAAAAATCCCAAATTACTTTCTTAATTTGTTTGGTGGCAAAAACTGGAATTGACATGACTCTAAACTCTTCATTTATTCCATTTGGTGTTACTATTGATGCATTTCATTGTGGAAATATGTGTTTGATTAATGGCTGCTGCCCAGGACAATACATGTTTTGTTTTGTTTAAAAAAAAATATTTTTATTGATTTTAGAGAGGAAAGGAGAGGGAGAGATAGAAACATTAATGATCAGAGGGAATCATTGATCGGCTGGCTCATACATGCCCCCTACTGGGGATCGTGCCTGCAATCCTGGGCATGTGCCCTAACCAGGAATTTAATTGTGACTGCCTAGTTTATAGGTCAATGCTCAACCACTAAACCACACTAGCCAGGTTATACATCTTAAGTAAAATGTAGACAGCATAATATATTAAACTCCTAAATTATTTTTAGAATATTTGATTTAGAAACTCATATGGCCCCAGGGATTTGGGATAAAAGATTGCACACTTGTATCAGATTTCTTCTTGATTCTCTGATTAAATATCTCCATTGATATTAGTCTTTAGATATCTTTTAATAAAAAATGGAATGTTTATATAGTGCTCTTATTATAAACCTGGCACTGTGTAAACACTGTATATATTAGCTCATGAAGTCCTCACAGCAACCTTATAATTAAGTTCTGTTATCCTCATTTTACAGATGAGAAACCTGAGGCACAGAGAGATTAAGAAAACCTGTCAAAATCACACAGCTACCAAGTGTCAGAGCTAGGAATTGAACCTAGACAATTTTCTTTCATAGCTTGCACTCTTTGCCATTGAATTAACTCCCTGTCTCCTTCCCTCCTTCCCATGCCTCTACTTTGGAGAAGTTTAGAATATTAACCCTGTCTAAAAGTGTGGTTTCTGTCTCTACTCTGAAATATCAGACATCAAACTTTACATATCTTGCCAGCTAGTGTAGCTCAGTGGTTGAGTGTCCCAGCAGTTTGATTCCCAATCAGGGCACATGGGAGCCTATAGGAGGGAGCCAATCAATGTTTTTCTCTCATCATTGATGTTTCTCTCTCCCTTTCCCTCTCCTTACCTCTCTGAAATCAATAAAAATATACATACATGCACTGAGATTGTCTATGAAGATAATTTGAGCCATTTCTATTTCCAGTTGAAATTGGAGATTTACTTATAGTCATTCTTAATCTGATAAATTTTTGTATTAACTTTGCCTTTCACCATCCTTTTCCTTTCCTCTGAATATTCTTGGATAATAATGAGGCACCTCCCCTATTATTGTGGCCTTGTCAGATGTCAGGGCATGTTAAAAATTTGGCTTTAGTTTAGTGAGCAGCAGAATCCTAGCTAGTAAAGAGGGAATATGCAAATTGACCATCACTCCATAATGGTCAAGATGGTGGTGCCCATGGCAGAGGCAGGGATTCCGTAACACAAGATGGCTGTGCCCACAGCAGACGCTGAGTTCCCATAACGAGCCTTAATGAGCAATCAGCAGGGAACTGAGGCTGCGTGGTGCTGGGCCAGGGCAGGGGACCTGAGGCTGCACCCCCCGTCTGGTGGGGCTTGACAGGGGACCTGAGGCCGTGCCCCCGCCCTGGCGCCAGGCTGGGATACCTCATGCTACACCTGCTGGGCAGAGGGCACAGCCTGAGGTCCCCTGCCAAGCCTCAGTCTGTGCCCCCTGCCCGGCAGGGCTTGACTAGGGAACCTCAGGTCATGCCCTTCTACTCAGCAGGGCTTGATGGGGAACCTCAGAGTGCATCCCCTGCCTGACGGGGCTTGACGAGGACCTTAAGGCATTCTGCCTGCTCTGGCCCAGGCCAGGGGACCTCAGGCCGTGCACCCTGCCCCGGGCCGGGGGACCTGAGGCTGCGACCCCCGCCTGGCAGAGCTTGATGGGAGACCTCAGGCCACACTCCCTGTCCCAGGCCAGGGGACCTCAAGGCACACACCCCCCCTCCCCCCGCCCAGGCCGGGGGACCTCAGGCCATGCCCCCCACCCAACGGGGCTTGACAGGGGACCTCAAGGCGTGTCTCCTGCCCCGGTGCCAGACCAGGGGATCTCAGGCCATGCCCTTCACCCTGGGCCTGGGGACCTGATGCTGTGCCCCCTGCCCTGGCACTGGCACTTGACTCTGGTTCCCATGGAGTGCCCCAGACTCTGACAGGAGGAAGATTTACATTTTACTAATTTTCTTTCAT